GAACACCTGTTATTTTACCTGTTGTTTGTATGGGTAATAGCCAATTTGGTTAATATCCTCGTATTATTTTATGGATCAGAATACACGTGTCATATTTGCATTTCTGTTGTACTTTTAGCCATTTTAGTTTGTTTATATGTGGTGTGATGTGGTCATATTTATTTACATTTCCCAGTACTACTCTTGCCGCAAAGTTCTGTAGCTTCTGTGTCCTTTGTATTTGTGTTTTGTTTGTGGAGCCCCAGATGTTTAGACAGTAATTAAGGATACTAAAGTGCTAGTGTTTGTATAACAGCAATTCTTGTTTCTGTGGGTATTTTATTTTTTATGTGATTCGGGTATATCAGTGTGACCATTACTTTCCCGTAGATGTGATCAATTTGTGTTTTGAAAGTCATGTATCTATCTACGTGTACCCACAGGTTATTTACTGTTGTGTCAGGTTTGATGTAGCAACCTTGGATATCTATAACTGTGTCTGTGGGTATTTTTGCTATGTTTTGACGGCTGCCTATGAGAATACACTGTGTTTTTTGTGGATTTAGTTTCAGGCCATTCATATCGAAGTATTTTTTTTGTTTCTGTTAGGGTCTGTTTAGTCTTTCCCTTAGGTCTTTCCTTTAGTCTTTTCCTTTAGGTCTTTCCTTTCCTTTCCTTTGGTCTTTCCTTTCCTTTCATTTAGATTGTTTACAGAGGCAGTTTGAAGAAATTGAGAGTCGTCTGTGTACTGAACAAGAAAACAGTTCTTTGCGATTGGTGATAAATTATCTATGAATATAATGAATAAGATTGGGCCAAGGATGGAGCCTTGTGGAACACCGAACAAAACTGATTGCTTTGATGATACTTTTTCATGGATTTTGATTGATTGAGTTCTCGCGGACAGGTAACTTTTGAACCAAAAATTATCAATTTCGTGGTTTGTTAGTTTGTTTACGAGTAATTCATGGCTGACACTGTCAAAGGCCTTCAATAGATCACATAGAGTGGGCAAATTTATCTGGTTGTTGTCTATATCATTATAAATTTCATTTGTGACTTTTAGTAATACCATTTCGGTTGATAATTTATTCCTAAAACCGTGTTGCGTGTTAGATATAAGGTTATTCGCTTCTAAAAATGTTGTTAATTGGTTTGCAACTATTTTCTCGAGAACTTTAGATATTACTGGCAGTATAGTGATGGGTCGATAATTATTAATTTCGTCTCTGTCACTGGATTTGAAAATAGGAGTTATGTTGCCGTGTTTCCGAACTGTTTGATAAACACCAGTGACTATGGATGTATTAATGATTACTGTCAGATAGTAATTAATTGCTGGTAAAGTATCGTTTATGAAACAATGTGCAATTCCATCTGCTCCCACGGAATTTGTCTTTTTTAAGTGTTCTGTTGTCAGGGTGATAGTTTCTACTCCAACTGGTTGCAGTCTGAAAAAGTTTGTTGTAGTGTTCATTTCGTTTATATTGTGTTGCCTTACTGTTTTGGTTTTAAAAGGAGTGCAGGCATCGAGGCCGTTCTTTATCACGTTTGTAAGAATATTAACTTGTTTATTAGCGTCATCAGTTGTTAACGCTTTCATGCCGGGCATCATGTATACGTGACAGACTCATTGTGAGTTTACTTGTTTATTTCTTTTCACACATAGATGGCTACGCTTGTACTTGTACTGCCTGTCTCGCCTGTTTACCCTTTTCTTTAATTTACGAAATTATTTTGCGTCATCTTATTTTGCTGTTACTAATGTTTATAACATTATAGTAATTATAATGTTTATAATAAAAATAACCATCGATATTCGTAACACTAGTAAAAATACATTTTCCCGCCAATTCAAGGAAAGGTGAAATCAGGTAAGGCAGAGCCATCTAGTGTAGAGAAATTTCATTAAAGAAATATAAAAAATGAGCCCAGCATTTTCCCCATTTTTTGTTCATTTTTACCCGATGCGAATGGGTTAAGATCTGTGACAGTGACGAGTCGTTGGCTATAATATATTGGCAGAGTAACTGAGGATGCATTAGGTCGCGAGAGGTTTTAATGACTGGTTTTCGCTTTGTTTTTTCTATATTTCTATATTTAATATTGTATTTTCTATATTTATTTAATATTGTATTTTCTATATTTAATATTTATTTCTATATTTAATATTTATTTTTCTATATTTATTTAATATAGTTTTTTCTATAT